TCTCTCTCTCTCTCCGTCTCTCTCTCTACCACATTCACAAACACACTCACTCACTCACACACACACACACACACACACACACACACACACACACACACATACACACACATACACACACACACACTCACACACATACACATACACAGAATATACGCGCACAATAATACACAAATAAGCACGTATTTGCACATGCGGATGATGGATGAAAGTATGTTCTTTTGAGCTCCTAAGTAACTTAAAAAATAACAACTACATTTTACGCACACACCGCCTCCGAAACTCTCTTCTGAACCAATAAACCATCCCGCTCCTTCCACAACTTTTACATCCTATCTTCTACATACCATCCCTCCACAAAATGAGTTTTTATGGCTTAGTACAATCATAAACAGGATTGTGGACATAAATATTATAGGCCTATCATGATTTTTAAAAGGAGAACTGCCCCTTCTGAACACGTTTACATGAAAGTGAAAAAAGCAAATGCAGCCATAGTCATCAAAACAACATGTTACCGAAAGTGGGCATAGGTGGGTGGGTGAAAGTGGAGGTGCAGGTGCAGATAGGTCTTCCTTTCCACCATAAGCGAGACCAATGTCTAAAACAGTGTGATGTGCACCGTTTTCCAGCTCGAAAAATATATAATAAATTTAAGTCAAACGATTTTTTGGGGTTTTTGTTGTTGTTTTGTTCTTACAGCATTACTTGGGTGGATCTGTGGTTAGTTAATAGTTAAGCTTCGCTATAAAAAGAACCAAGATCTGGAATAGGGATCGTTGGTCATGGTTCTCCATTCATTTCTCTGCACAGATACTCTTTAGCTACTCGCTTTTATCAGTTAAAGGACTAATTATTCATTGCGGTGTACTCATGAGCAGACTGATGTGATTTTGAGTACCTTCCTTGATCGACATACATGTATTCCCTTGAATTGTCTATTTCATCCACGAAGGAACATACATCATTTCTGATCCCTAGTCTAGAATTGAATCCGTTCATATTATTATTGCATTTTTCTACACTTGTTTCATTTCGATACCGTCTCAGAGAAACCATGATTAATAATATCCTGCTAAGATGTTTCGGAATATGTGGAGCAACGTAATCTAGTGATATCTCAATCGGTCTGTCGAAGCAGCACGCCTCCTAAAAGATCTAAACAGTTAAAGGGGAGGACAGATTGTGAACTAACATGACAGCTATATTAATTGTACCATTGTTCGTGGTAATTTCATTGAGCAGGTCGTACACATTTTGCAACCTCAGAATTACATAGATCTATCTGAAATGTTTTGTCGTTTTAATTATTAAGACCATGAGGTTAGAAACCAATAAATGCTCTATCTGTTCTATCAAGATCGTTAGATTATTTGGCGTCGTTATCAAGTTATTCAAAGAATTTCGTTTGATAAAAAAGCTTGACATGTTGTGAAAGTCAAAATTTTTCACGTCAAATTTCTCAAACTAGGTACTGATCAGACAGAACTTTGTAATTCAAAGGTAGCGATTTACAATCAGTTCTCACATATTTGATACTTATAGAATAGTATAGAGAAAGGAAGACTTGGTTGCGAAAGCTACTAACAGGAGGAGCAATTCGCCTTTAACCCACTATGGGTTGGCCTCGGATGGTCTTGGGTCAAGGCATCCTAGCCCAAGTCAGTGGCAGGTGATTGATAATCATAGCCGTGCAGGTGTTTGATGAAGGACGACCAGAGGAGAAAGAAATCATGTACCGAGGTACTGATTTTCAGGATAGGGAAAGGCGAGTATTATTATATATTATCTGCGGGGAAGACGTAAATATCTACGTATTATCAATGTGTGTGTGTGTGTGTGTGTGTGTGTGTGTGTGTGTGTGTGTGTGTGTGTGTGTGTGTGTGTGTACCTGTGTGTGCGTTTGCAAGTGTGCCTGTGTGTACGAGGTATATGCATGTGAGTATTTGTGTGTGCTGTGCGCATGAGGGAATAAGTACGGAAGGTGTGCGTGCGTGTTTTATATTATTGTATATGTAGTGTGTTTTTGCCTTTTGTGTTTTGGGTAAACACATTATAAATCAATTTATATAGGCTTGCAGTGAGAGTGGGAAAGAGAGTGATAGAGGCAGAGAGAGAGAGAGAGAGAGAGAGAGAGAGAGAGAGAGAGAGAGAGAGAGAGAGAGAGAGAGAGAGAGAGGGGGGGGAGAAAAAAAGAAGTAGGCCAATTGGTAGATAGATTTAGAGGCAGCGAAAATAAGATAGATAGATAGATAGGTAGATAGATAGATAGATAGATAGATAGATAGATAGATAGATAGATAGATAGATATATAGATAGACAGATAAATAGATAGATAGATAGATAGACAACGACGGGTAGAGAGAGATAAAAAAAGAGGGAGTGAGAATGAGAAAGAGAGCGAGCGAGCGAGGGAGCGAGTGAAAGAGAAAGAGAGAGCAGAGAAAGAAAGAAAGAAAGAAAAAGATGGAGAGAGAGACAGACAGGCAGCAGACAGATATA